TTGACTAAAACTCCACCACCACTAGTTGAAAAGTGCTACTATGAGGAGGATTCTTATTTGGTGAATAATTAGACAGGGGATTTGAGCAAACACCCGAGGTTCCAACTCTGATAATCGATTCTAAGGGAAAGGAAACCAAGGTCAGTACTGTGGTACCTACAAACAAGAGGTTAACTATGTACCAGATGAGAACTACAATCGCGACAACGACTACAACTAGAATAACTATGAAAAAATAAATGATAGAGTTGGGCCTTATGTTACAAGTGCAAATCAAGAATCTGGCAATAGGGAAGTTGGGGGGGGGGGGTATGTCATGTATTGAGGATATGATGTAGAAGATGATGAAGAGGTTTGATACGACCAATGAGAATGTGAAAGAATTTGAAAGAGATGTGAAACGTCTTGCTTGGAATTGGTCAAAAAGTTGATACCCATGCAGTGTTGATTAATCAACTTGAGTAGCAAATGAATATTTGTCCCCAAAAATGAACCCATGTCAGCTTGACATACTTCCTAGCAATACCATCTATAATCTGAAAAATAATGGGAATTGTATGGCAGTCACTACTTGAGAGGGTAAACAAACCATTGATCACCTATGTCGTCTGAGGTTGAAATTATGGTTGAGAAAGATGATGATGACATTGAGGTTATTGGAAAGTCCAAGAATGCTATAGAGAAAGAAATGGAGATGCCCAAAAATTTATTCACATGTTTAGACCTCAAAATTCATTCCCACAGATATTAGTGAAGAAGACTAAAGAAGGAAAATACAGAAGGTTCAACTATGTTGAAACAATTTTTAATCAATGTTCCATTGATAGAGGCTTTGGAGAAAATAATTAGGTATGCAAAGTTTATCAAGGATGTGGCGACCAAAAAAAGGGCTATTAACTTTGAGAATGATGAGAGGTTGCAAAATAAAAGTGCTATTGCTACTAGGTCACTTATATAGAAATAAGAGGATCCTGGTGCTTTCACCATTCCTTGTACCATCAGGTTGTTGCATTTAACGAAGGAGTTTTCTCATTTGGGAGCTAACATTAATCTAATGTCATTGTCTATATAGAAAAAGTTGTGTTTAGGGCTCCAAAATCGATTGCAATGTGATTACTCATGGCTGATAGAAGTGTGAAGAAACCCATTGGTTTTCTCCAAGATGTACTTGTAAAAGTGGAGTGATTTATTTTTCTTGCAGGTTTTGTGTGCTTATTTAGAGGTTGATTTTGAGGTTCCCATCCTCCTAGGAGACGATTCCTTGCTACTGGGTGCACCTTGGTCGATATGGAAAGAGGATAGATGAAGTTATGATTGAATAGTGAAGATGTAGCTTTTCATATCTGTAGGTCCATAAACTGGAAAGCGTCTCAAATCATTATCACTGGTGAATCATATTGTGGAGCGAAGTTTTGATGTGTCTATTGAAGAAAGATTGGGTGTTGATGCACTGACATCGGTAAAGATGAACTTTGAGGGTGATGTTATGGAGACTATGATGAATAATTTGCCTCACTTGATAGGTTCGAATTTCATTCCAAATCAAAGAATTACAATTAGATATGAAGAATTGCGACTCTCCCCTCGCAAAACCGTCTATTAAAGAGGCTTCAAAATTAGATCTCAAGGCTCTACCATCGCACTTGAGGTATGTATTCTTTGGGAGAGATGGTAGCAGTCATCATTGCGATTGATTTGAGTGAGGCGTAAAGTTGAGGAATTGGTTTCTGTGTTGAAGAGGTTCAAGATGGAAATTGCATGGACTATTGCGGATATTATTGGGATTTCTCCTGGAATTTGTTCTTATAAAATCCAACTCATGCCGGACCACAAGACTTGTATCGAGCACCAAAGGAGACTAAATCCACCTATGCAAGAGGTAGTGAAAAAGGAAATCATCAAATGGTTGGATGCTGGAGTCATATATCCAATTGTAAATAGTAGTTGGGTTTATTCTTTTCTGTATGTTCCTAATAAAGGTTGGATTACTGTTGTTCCTAATGCAAAAATGAGTGTGTTTATGTGGCCAGTGACTGAATTGAAAGTATGCATGGACTATAAAAATGATTTCACTAGATTTTGGTGAAAGAAAATCTAGCTTCCACACCTAACATTATTTCACTAGAGTTTGGGCAACCTTTGAAATAATGTGTGATTGATATGCTCAAATTTACTTCTCGAAAAGAAGTATAAGCGATCGTATCAAGTAAAGAACCTAACTATGAGGTTGGGGTCGATCCCACGAGAAAAATGATTTATACTTAACTTTAACCTACAATTACTTCTATTTAATCAAGTCCTTTCCCAAAACAGGTGATAAAAGGGGGTTTTAAATGACAAAAGGAATTAAATATTTCTAAGTAAACAAGTAGCAAGTATGAATATTTGATATTTATCAAGTGATGAAAGTGACAAGGGCAAAAGTGTTCCTCACAGGTTCAAAACGCGGTAATTCTAGCTATAACAATTCTTTCCTAGTATCTTGAATGCAAAGTGGTAAGTTATGTATCCCTTATTCCTTGGTCCGGCAATAATGGAATTTCACTCCGCACCTTGGTCCAGCTACGTGTGTATGCTTTACAAACCTTACCTTTACCTCATATTAAGCATCATAATCGATGTATGACTTAGTTGTTACTTTGCACCAATCGACATTAGCCTATTAGATAGTGTATACAAAATCTACGTTGATAATTCTTTTCTTATTATCTATCTCCTTGGTCTGGCAAGTAGCAACAAGGCGATTTCTAACGCGTGCACTCGTTAAAAAGACTTCTAAATGAAAGAATTATTAATACATGCAATACACTATTCTAGAATTGTTATTTTAGATAGTTTTTACCTTGTTATTTACTCATGGTTCCCACAACCCTAGCTATGGATTTAGTTACCCATGTTAACAATCACACAATTCATATTGATTAGACAAGAATTCATGTACTTACTTTGATGATATTGAAGAAGATCCAAAAAAATTACTTGAATAAATCAAAGTCTTGCAACAAACGATTCCGGAAAGTAGAATATTTTCCGAAATCTCAAGTTCAACAACTAGGATAATAAAACAGAAAAAATATCAAAAAGTCTAACCCCAAAACTGAGATATTTACAAGTATTTATAATAAAGAAGTTATAATATAAAAAGAAAATCTATTTAAGGAAAATCTGCCCAAAAACGCGTCTGAGTCGACGATCGGACTAACTGACCGTCGAGGCCTCCCGTCGTTCCAAACATAGAATCTTTTTCAGCTGCTTTATTCTCCAACTCACTGTTACCTGGATGACGTTCCGTTGAGTGCACGACGTTCTGTCGATGGTTTCCATTTCTCCACACTTAGAATCTTTTCAAGACAGATACTTGGGCTTCTTTCTGTTAGCAATGACGGATGTGCAAGATGGTCCGTCGTGGAGATGATGGTCTGTCGATAGCTTTCGTAGCCCACAATTGGTCTGAATTCCCCGATCTTCCTTCAACAACATTTGCTTGAAACAATGGTTTCCACCTACAGACCGTCGATGGCTCCGTAGGTCATCACTTCTGCAATCTCAGCAGAGTTTTTCCGCATTTCATTCTGGACAGTTTTCCTGCAAACAAAGAGAAAAATACATTAAAACTACTACAAAAAGGTCTTAGGCACGCACTAAACTTAAGCAAAAAACATTGAAAGTACCGTGAAACCACGGTACATCAGTGATGCCAGTGAAGTGGCACTTGTTGTGGTATTGGGACAGAGGTGAGAAAATATTCTTCATCCTATTTATTATGACTGGAAACCTCTGAATATGACTCAAACAAAATATATGGTGATTGAACAAGAATTGTTTGCTGTGCTTTTCGCATTTGAGAAATTTTGATCCTACTTGTTTGGTACTAAGGTCGTGCATACTCACTGTTCTGCATTGAGGTATCTGATGGATAAGAAGGATACAATACCGAGGTTAATTAGACAGCATTATTGCTGCAAGAGTTTGATTGGATGTCAAAGATAGAATTAGGACGAAAAATCAAGTTACTGATCATTAGTCCAGAATAAAGGAAGAAACTGTGCTCAAGCTAGGTGATGGGGCAGAAATTAATGATGCATTCCATACCAAACAAGTTTTGGCTGCTTCTCATGATCTTATTGCTTGGTTCGTATATTTTGCTAACTACTTGGCAAGTGATATGGTTTCATTGGATTAGTCTTTTCACCGAAGGAAGAGTTTATGCATGATATGAAGAAGTTCTTTTGAACTTTACTTGTTCTATATTTGTGCTTATTGGAATATTTGTCACTGTGTGCCTGAGGTTGAGATGATGAGTACAGTAAAGGAGTGTCATTCATCACGTGTTGGTGCGCATCATAGTGGCATTCAGACTACTCATAAGATCATGCAGTGTGGGTATTACTAGCCTACCATCTATCAAGATGCTCATGATTTTGCCATGTTTTATGATCGTTGTTCAACGAGGCAGGGGCGACCTATGAATCCAATATTGGTGATTGAGTTGTTAATGTATGGGGACATGAATTCATGGATCCGTTTGTGAGTTCTCATGGGATAAAGTATATTCTTGTCGCGATTAATTATGTGTCAAAATGGGTGGAAACAATTGCACTTTCAAATAATGAGGGTAAAAGTGTCACCGTATTCCTAAAAAAGAGTACCTTCTCCAGATTTGGTACACCTAGGGAGATTATCATCGTTGGTGATTCCCATTTTTGTAATAAGTTATTCAAGGCATTGGTAAAAAAATATGGAGTCTGTCAAATGTAGCAACTCTTTACCATCCGCAGTCTAGTAGGCAAGTTGAAGTGCCAAACATAGACATAAAGAAAATCCTCGCAAAGAATGTGAATGCAAATTAAACTGATTGGTCAAGGAGGCTTGATGATTCTCTATGGGACTATTGCACCACATTCAAGACTCCCATATGTATGTACCCCTACTAACTTGTATATAGGATGTCGTTCCATTTGCCAGTACATATAGAGCATAAGACTACGTAGGCACTAAATATGTTGAATTTGTATTGGGGTGCCGCATCGAGTCAAAGAGTAAATGAAATTAATGACATTGATGTGTTTTTCCTAAAATATTATGAAATTTCCATCTTATACAATGAGAAGATAAAGAAGTATCATGATCAAAAGATTGAAAAGCGTGAATTTGCTATGGGTGATCTGGTGCTTCTATTCAACTCAAAGTTGTGGTTATTTCATGGCAAGACTAATTCCAAGTGGAACGGGCCATTGAAAGTCACTCAAGTGTTTCCACATGGAGAGCTCGAGCTCGAGAAGAAGGGAACAGGGTTTAAGGTGAACGGGCAAATGATCAAAGTCTACATGGGGAAGTTGGACAGTGTGCAAGAAGTGATTGAGACCTATTACCCTTGATGAAGCTTGAGTTATAAAGGGTCTTACATCATGCCGCGATGTCAAATAAATATTTTCTTATAAGGCAACCTAAGATGTACAATCTAGCCAACTATAGTTTTTCTTTTCGATTGAGGGGTTTTCTTCATTTATTTCAATTTTGTTAAATCTTTAGATAGGAATTTTATTTTTATATTAGTGCTATTTAGATATAGAATAGTGTTCGTGTCTAAAAGGTGTCAAGAAAATCTAAAAATAGAGTCCTAATGGTTTCTACGTATGCAAGGGAGAAAGGCAAAATCTGTAGAAAAACACTTGCCTAAAGGTCTACGGACCCATCAACGATCCGTTGGTGGACCCACGGACCGTGAATGATGTTCGTAGACCCCAGGTAAGCTTCCTAATTATTCTAAGTGTCAGAGTGATCTACGAACCTGACCTACAGTTGTAGGTCGACCCACGGACCGTAGACGGGGTCTCGTGGGTCCAAAAATAGGGTTCTATCGACCCAGACCCGAACTCCCTTTAAATATAACCATTCCAATTCAAAACATTTCCTATGTTCATCTAAATCCCCAACCATTTTAGCCCTGTAAATCCCCCTAATCACTCCAATAACTCCCATATCATTCCCAATTCATTTTCCCAAATTTACAAATCATCCATTTCTCTCCTAAATCACCCATCTCACTTCCCAATGACTCCATAGTCCATGGGCGGTGTCAATTTTTTTTAAAAAGGTCTAAAAGTTTATTGCATCACACTCACCCACTTTGATTACTTGAAAGGTAAATTACTTCTTCCTTACTTTGAATTCAGTGTTCATAGTTTGTCTAATGAAGTCACGAAGTTGGTACTTGACTTTGGGTTGTACATGTCATGTTTGAGTGTCGAATTGTATGCTATAAAACACTTGGTATGATGGTAAGTGGGTGTGTAATTACTCAATACCTGAATACTTCACGTTTATAGGCCAAATTGGAAGTTTTGACTTAGGGTTCATGTGTATCAGTGCGAGAAATTGTGAAATCATGTAAAATTGGAACTCTAAGGACTATTAACTAGCATATTACTTGTTGAAATGCATGTATAGGCCTAAGTTGTGTAAAATTGGTGATTAAAAGCCTTGAAAGAAGTCAACCATCTGTAAACATGGCAAATATTGACCCACAAGACCCTGTTTATGGATCGTAGGTCATTCTACAGACCATAGGTCGAGCCAATGGGCTAGAAACACCCAATATTTTTGCTAAATGTCGAACCACAATGTGGACTACAGTTCGTTGTTCCACCGACGAACCTTTCTTCACATCTGTGGTTTTGACCCAATTTTGGGTAGTATTACTTACGGAGAGGACCTGCGAAGCGTAGGTCCACCCACAGACCATAGGTACCCACCTTGGGTCATAGGTCAAGCACTGACCATAATTGTTTTTGTTTTTCGTTTTGCTTCGTTTCTTATTCTAAAATTCTTCGGACTGTTTTGTTCGCTTGTTATGGTATAACTAAGCGTCTACATGTTTTATGCCCCCAATAAAGCTCCAACTCACACTGAAATAGCACATCAAAGTCCATTGCTCCCTACTTCAGGCTGATCAATAAGGGTATGGATGGGGAGTACGATCGACCTCCCACCATGAAATTTTTTCAATTGCTTCATACACTAAGTAAAATTAAACCGGGTAGGTTATTCCCGACGTGATCACTGCTCCCAGTATAATGAAGGAGCCACACTAATTGGATCACGAGCTAGCTCTAAGTCCGCATTCGACTCCGAATCTGGATCACATTCTAATGGCATCCCCACCTTGTCTTCTAAAGTTAATAGTGGGGGTGAAATTCCAGTGCCCACAATAACAGGCTTGTAGTAGTTGTTGATGAACCTAATCAATGTTGTTTGGAGGGATAGTTTAATTTATATGGAGATGCCCACATGTTGAATGAGAATGAAAAGATGGCTCGACTAGTCACAGATGAGCGCGAGTTCTCACAAGCAGCCTCCATACCACTCCAGTTATTGAATGGCTATTTTGCAGATTCATATGTAAGTAGATGGCACAATCCCCAAGAACTTACATCGAAGAGATAGTCAGGATTTCTACATTCCTATTTTTCCACTATTAAAGTTTCCATCTCCCATAAGACCAAGCCCGCTGCTCAGCCTCCACTTCAGGCTACACTATTTAGGGTTTTTCTGTGGATATCTTCGAGACTACTTTCTATAGGTTAATCTATGGCACGAACCAGACTCTTCCCATAAATACAGTAGATTTCGACTATCAGATATGCATTATTAAGATCGGAACCTTTTAGCAGAATGCCAAGCAGATAAATTCCCTTGTGAGATGACTAGCCCGACATCTTGTTACTTCTGGAGAACGTGTCATGTGGGTTCAGACCCCGAGTGTAGGTATTAAGAAGGCAACCCTGACCTTTGCCGCTAAATTTTCCATGTTGTTGGTGCGTAACCGTGTGTTCGCCACTCAGGCGTATCATGTGTTAACATGGGATCGTGCCGCGATGGTTGCAACTACAGTTATCGGGTTGGAGATAGATTTTTGCTGCGTCGTGATTGCGGTGATCCATGAGAGGGACTTCAAGAAAACCACCATTTTTATCTTCTCCTGCCTCATCTTCCATATTTTAAAGGACTCCACTATACCGTTTTGGCATTATGACAGATCACTTTAGTAAACCATGACTTTAGATATAGCCCGATTCAGGATGAGACCAATGTATTTGCACCTCACAGGAAGCCATATGTTGAGGTTCCACTATTGGGAGATTATATTGTACCAGATGTGGAGCAGATGCAGGTTGACGACCTTGCCCATCAAGAAAAATCCAAGGTTGTTCCCTCACAGGTAACAAGTTAGCCCCCTTGCTCATTCGCCACCACGCACTTCTCCTGTTCGCCCGCCATCCCTCTAGCTCAAGTTATGAAGTTATAGGCACAAACGGCCATATTACTACATCACATTAGGCCATGGATGCAACACTCAATTGAGCAGTTTGAGGCTAGGATAGATCAACTCATGGACCAGAAGAATTAGATTGTACATAAGCACCTTACGCGTTCGAGCTCCATGTTTTGGAGAGGTTGGCCCTGACCATTGATCTATCAACTTTCAATGAAGAGTTGGCCATCCTTCATTCTGATCTAAATTACTTCCTAGTTCCTCCCGAGTCTGCACCAAAGGATTCCCCCTATAGATGAGGTTTACACTATTGTGATATCTTCTTTATTTGGAGATGAAGTGCCACCATAAAACTCTTCCTGTTCTTTTGGGAAGCTCCCCCGCTCTGGTTGTGCTTCATATTATACTAAGGCCTATAGAATGAGGAACAAAGAGCAAAAAAATATTGAGGTGGCTCAGAGGGCATCCATAGTTGATGAGGAGTTTAGACAACAGAGGGAAAGGGACGTAAGTGTTGGCCGATCTAGTGGTGTGAACACTTCTAATGGTGCCTTAAGATTTGATGATATTATTATTGAGAGTACTGAGATGGTAGTTTGGAGCGCTAAAGATTGCGTTCCAAGTGTTGATCCAGCCGGTTCTGAGAAACCGGCCCACCCGCTTCTTGAGTGGTTTTCAGCGCATATGTGCCACAAGTTTGCTTCACCCGATCTTTTGCTTTTTTACTTTTTGTACATTGGGGACAATTGCACTTTATTTTATTGGGCTAGGGTAAATGAATTGTGAGCGATAGGGTGAAGTTTGAGCAACTAAAATTATAATCCTCTCTTGGGGTTTTCTTGCCTGTTTTCTTTCACCCAAGAGGTTGTTTTAATTTCTCTTGAACCAGCATGTTTAGGAATGTATCTGTATGAATAAGTATAAAAATGAAAGCATTATGGCATAAAAATCATAAAAAATGATCCCAATCCAAAATAAAATGTTGTAATTTTCTAAATTGATCGTCTTGATGAGTTGAATCTGTGGGATCTTAATGTGAAATGATAAGAAACTTATTTGACCTCATGAATTGGGCTGAAACTTGAACCGGGTAATATGATAATGAAACAATGTGCCAAGAGTGTGTGAGAAAATTTGAATGATTAGATAGTTTGTGCAAATCAAAAACTTTCCCCGTTAGTGCTGCTAAGATGATCTAGGGTAGAATTTGGGAAGTGATTGTATACCCTTGCTCAAATTAGTCTAGTTAAGCCTAAACCGATCCAACAAAATGAAATCAATGTTCTATTTAATCCAAATGTTTGAGCCTTAAATAGACTTTTTCTTTTGATTCACCTAACTCACCTACCCTAAAATAATGGTCTTGGCCGAGGTCCCTCCCTGGTCTGAGATCAGATATTGTCCACCTCAACTAATGCAAAATCTATAAGTTGAGAAGGGACTATGAAAGAGAAAACCGAAAGAAAAAAGGCGCTATGAAAAGAGTTTTTTATTAAAAAGAGAAAAATAAAAGGATGTGATTTTGTGCAAAAGAAGCAAATATATGATAAATAAAAGTGTTGAAAGAAATAAATAGAATAAAATAAAAGAAAATGAAGAAATTAAAAAACAAGAGCCACAAAGTCAAAAGTCACATCCATGTTGAAATTAGTCATGGTAAATAATGTAAAATGAAATGATGTTAAAAATAGGTTGAGAAAAGAGGTAAAAAAACCAATGTAATGTCAAGGAAGGCACGAAGTCACTAAAAGGTACTCAAATGTACCAGAACTTGCCATGAGCCTATGTTAAAAGCTAAAAAAGTCCTATAGTGATCCTAGCACCTAGTTTGGAGAGTCTAAGCAGTGAAAATAAGGGTAAACATATGATATTGAGCTCTAACTTTACTTGAAGTCACTTCTAATTAATCCTAAAACCAAAATAATTTCTTCTATATGACAAGGATTTTGTTTAAAGTGAGGACACTAGTTACATTATCAGAAAGTTGGTACCTTGGTGATTGTGAAAAATGTTTGTTGTGGTGTCTATTGGTCAATCTTTGTCAGATCTTGATATGCATGAGTTATCTTGTTGAGTATAATAAATAGGAATTGTACTAAGATG